CGACAGGAAACATTGAGACCAACCACAACCTGCCCCCGTCCCACAAATCCCGGAACAACATCCTGCGGTGAGCGGGGCTACATGCCGGGGGGTGGGGGATGGGAGTGAGGAGCGCGGGCGGCGCTGGGGGGGACTGCGGGTCGGGAGTGAGGGGCGCGGGTGGCGCTGGGGGGGGCTGCGGGTTGGGAGTGAGGGGCGCCAGCCATCCTGGGGGGGCTCTGACCCTGTCCCCCCCAGCACCAGCCTGGATCTCTACGCCAACGTGATTCACTGCCAGAGCCTCCCGCGGGTGCTGACGCGGCACCGGGACATCGACATCCTCATCGTCCGCGAGAACACGGAGGGCGAGTACAGCAGCCTGGAGCACGAGGTGCCGCCCTGGAGCCCCGCCCCCCGGGAGCCCCGCCCCCCCCCGGGTCCTGCCCCTGGGAGCCCCGCCCACCCTGGGAGCCCCACCCCTTCCCCTGCTGTCCCCCTGGGGTCCTGGCCCTGGGAGCCCTGCCCACTCCCTCGGAGCCCCGCTCACCCCCTGGGGTCCTGCCCCTGGGAGCTCTGCCCCTTTCCCTGCCCACCCCCTGGGAGCCCCGCCTCTGTCCCCCTGGGGTCCTGCCCCTGGGAGCCCCGCCCACTGCCTGGGAGGTCCACCCACTGCCTGGGAGCCCTGCCCCCCGGGAGCTCCTGCCCAGCCCCTGGGGGCCCCAGCCCCTGGGGGCCCCAGCCCCCCTAGGATCTGTGCTCACCTGGTGCCTTGGCTCCACCTTGGGCCCCGCCCCGTTTGGGAGGGGAAGCCTGAGCCGTGCCCCTCCCCTCCGTGGGGCTCAGGTCTCCGCCCCTCGCGTCCTGACTCCGCCCCCTGCCCCGCAGAGCGTCTCCGGCGTGGTGGAGTGCCTGAAGATCATCACCAAGGCCCGGTCCCTGCGCATCGCCGACTACGCCTTCCGGCTGGCCCGCGAGACCGGGCGCGCCAAGGTCACCGCCGTGCACAAGGCCAACATCATGTGAGTGCCGGGCCGCGGGGGCGGGGTCTGCGGGGGGCGGGGGGCCGGGCCGGGGGTCGCTCAGCCCCGCTTCCCCTCCCCCACAGGAAGCTGGGTGACGGGCTCTTCCTGCAGTGCTGCCGAGAGGTGGCGGGCGGCTACCCGGAGATCGCCTTCGACAGCATGATCGTGGACAACACCACCATGCAGGTGAGAACCCCGGCGTCCGGGCCTCCCAACCCCCCTCCCCCGGGAGAGACCCCCGGCGTCCTAACCCCCGCTCTCCCCCCAGCTGGTGTCCCGCCCCCAGCAGTTCGACGTCATGGTGATGCCCAATCTCTACGGGAACATCGTGAACAACGTGTGCGCGGGGCTGGTCGGGGGCCCGGGGCTGGTGCCCGGCGCCAACTACGGGAGGGACTTCGCCGTCTTCGAGACCGTGAGCGAGGGGGGGCGCGGGGGGGTTCCAGGGGGCCGCAGGGTGGGAATGGGGGGCAGCAGGCAGGGCGGGAATGGGGGCGCTGGCGGGGGGCAGGATCAGGGTCTCATTGTGTTCCCCTCCCCCCCCCCAGGCCACGCGGAACACGGGGAAGAGCATCGCCCACAAGAACGTCGCCAACCCCACGGCCACCCTGCTCGCCGCCTGCATGATGCTGGACCATCTCCGGTGAGCCCCCCCACCCCCGTGCGCCCCCTCCCTCTCCGGTGAGCCCCCCCCTCCTCCCCCACCCCGTGCGCCCCCTCCCTCTCCGGTGAGCCCCCCCCTCGCCCCCCCACCCCGTGCGCCCCCTCCCTCTCCGGTGAGCTCAC